CTTGATCAGTCATTTAATTTTTTTTTTTTTTTTTTTTGCATAATCTGATTAGTATTCGGCAGAATTTTAAGCTTTTGCTTGGGAAGGATTTGAGCTGCTGCTTAGGAGACATTGTATCGGAGGGAATTCAAGGTCACCTGGATATATGCAGCAGTTATAAGAAAGCCTTTGGCAATGTCTTTTTTTTTTTTTAATAACTCCATCTCTCTTTAGTTAAAAACCATTTTAAAAATTATATTAAATCCTAGAGGACTAATTAGAAAGTAGTCTTGCAGTTGACTCTTTTAAATGCTACATTTCCATTGAGAAGTCCTGCTAATTGCTTATTCAAGATCTGAAGAAGGTCCTGAGTGGAGCTGATGCGTAGCCACAGGAGAGAGGCCTGAGTTGGTATTCTAGCGGCAGGGAAGGGCTTGTGGGACTCAGGGGAAAGAACTCAAGACTCTATGCTGGTAGCTCACATTATACCCTCTGCAATAATGATAGTTGGGTGTCCCAAAAAGAAAAAGTTTACATCGTATTAATAATATATAGAGATGCTTGATCAGTCATTTAATTTTTTTTTTTTTTTTTTTTTTTAAGGAGGGGTTTTTGTTTAGGTGCATGCACTTGCTGGAGAGACAGAGAGACAGAAAGAGAAATTACCCCCAGGGGAGATGGCCATACCACAATCCCATCTCCATTCTCCTCTTGGGATTTTGGGGCACACACGCACATGCACCCAGTGTGAGTTTTAAGCTACCGGGTCCAGGACTTGAACCACTATTGACTACATTAGAGTCCAGCGACATAACCATTATGCCATCTGCTGGTTCAAGCTATTTAATTTTTGAAGATCTTAATACGGACCAGGCTCATGTATGTATACACCCAGAATTCTGAGAGGAGAACGGAGGAGCATATCTCTCAGGTCTCCCCCAGTGATTTCTTGCTTTCTGTCTCTCTGTCTCTGTCTGTCTGGCAAGTTTACACGCCTATAGCAAAAAATCTCTCTCTAAAACAAAAACAAATCTACGCATGAATTAAAATTTTTTCTTGCACCAAAATAATTTTTTGTGTTTTAGGTTTTTGGCCATAGGGCACATGTGCTTGCTAGAGAGAGACAAAGAGAGGACAAGTGAGGCATCACTTCCCCAGGGGCAATGGCCACACCGTAACCTCTTCTCTTCCATTCTTCTCTTGGAATCTTGGGCATGTGCACACAGGCGCCCAGCGAGATTTTCAAGTCACTTTGTTTGAGACTTGAACCACGGTCTGCCATATGAGAGTCCAGCACCTTAACCGCCATGCCATCTGCTGGTCCCTGAACTCATACTTTAATTCTATTTCTCCATGAACTACTCGAAATCTTCTCATAGTTAATTTTATTTTGAGTATTTAGTGTTTGATTTTGAGTATTTAGAAAATGGTAGTTCTTAACCACATATATTTTTGATAACATCTGGACATTCAGGAACATTTGGCAAAGTCTAGAGACATTTTTAACTGTCATAACTAGAGAGAAGCTACTTGAAGCTAAAGGATAGTGGCTAAGAATGTGCTGAACATCCTGCAATGCACAGGGCAGCTCCCAGCCCCCCACACCAACTCCTGCACACAGAATAAAGATTACTTGGCCAAGATGTTAAAATATCCTGATTTAGAGGAATATAGAATAAATCAGATACTCAGACCTCAAGTACCAGAACCTTAACAGTAGTTTTCTGAGGTTACCATGTGCCAAACTCTAAGGGCTTTGCTGGTAATAACTCACTTCATTCCCACAACAACCCCATCTTCTTGTTCCTGTTTTTACAGATGAAATCGAAGCTCATAGAGGTTAGAAAATGGGTCCAAGGTTTTTGTGCTTGTAACTGATGGAGTTGAGATTCAAACCTAGACAGCTAGGCTATAGAATCGCAGTGTCGGAGCCAGCCTGTGGCCTGGTGATGAAGAGTTGAATCCCACATGGCCGAATGTGTGATTCAGGTCTGGGACCGGACAGTTTGCAAAACATGCTGGGTACACGTGTGTGTGTGTCCAAAATCCCAAAAGGTGGAAGAAATGGAAGAGGAGGGATTGCAGTGTGTCCATTCCCCATGGACAGTGTTTTCTTCCTCTCTCTCTCTCTGTCTCTCTGATGAATGCACACACCCTCTGGCAAATTTTATTTATTTATTTATGTGTTTATTTATTTATTTACTTATTTTTTAAAGCTTTTTGCCATAGGGTACATGTGCTCACTAGAGAGAGACAGAGGCAGTGAGAGGGAAAGTGAGAAATCAACCCCCAGAGGGGATGGCCATGCTGCAATTCCTTCTCCATTCTCTTCCCAGGATCTTGGGCACAAACACGCATGTGCCCAGCGTTGGGCACAAACACGTAGGTGCCCAGCATTTTTTTAAAGCCACTGAGTCTGTGACTTGAACCATAGTTGGTTAAATGAGAGTCTAGCAATGTAACCACTATGCCATCTGCTGGATCCTCTGGCAAAAAAAAAAAAGAATTCTAGTGTTAAACATTACAAAAACTCCCACAAAGAAACAAACAAAACAAATGAGCCCACAGTCACATCCCATACCAATAAACAAACACAGGCCCTTAAAAAAAAGGCTCCCTCTGGACGCCATCGGTTTCTGGTCATTATATAGTCTATGTACACACCTGGGCTTGTTATTGGTCACGGATTGTGAGATTGGGGACCATGTCAGGACCAGAGAAGGCACTGAACAAAGGTTCTTTAATGAAAAAATGATTGGCTGGCCCACCTTAAACAGCACGTTTTCCTGTCCTAGCCCCTTTGAATGAGCCTGACTCACCTGAGCTATTCGGACACCATATTTGCAAATCTTCTTAGTTAATGGTCCAGCCAAAACCGAAGAGTTCATAGCGTTGTGACCTCCAGGATGGATTTTTTTTTTTGATAGGCTTTTTCTATAGGGCGCGTGCACTTGCCAGACAGACAGAGAGAGACAGAGAGACAGAAAGCGAGAAATCACCCCCCAGGGGGGATGGCCACGCCGCAATCCCTTCTCCTCCATTCTCCTCTCGGGATCTTGGGCACGCACGCACACGTGCCCGGCGTGAGTTTAAGCCACCGAGTCCGGGACTTGAACTGCGGTCGACTATGTGGGAGTCCAGCAACATAGCCATTACGCTAACTGCTGGTCCCCAGGATGGATTTTTTAATACTTATCCTTTGGCCCCCTGAGTTGAGACTAATTAGTCAGGAGAGCCTGATGCCCACCCTTGACCTAACCCAGGCACTAGGAGATGAGATGAAAACAGTGACTGAAACAAAGCAGTTTGAGGCTCAGTGTTTTGTGTGTGTGTGTGTTGGAAGATTGAGGAAAGGTAAGAAGAGGGCAGCCTGCAGGGAGAAAGCTGCAGGAAAAAGAAGTGAAAATGCAGCAGTATGGTTTGCTTGGCTATCCAAAGAACCCAGAGAGCTTGGCTCTTTAAAAGCCAAATACAACTTGGTCTCTGAGGATCATTTGGCTATGGGGTGGCTTGTATCTCGACCAAGGTAGGTCCAATGAAGGATATAACATCTATAACAGAATTAATCTTGTCTGGCTCGTTATTGGGTCTCCTGCACCTATAACCACACTGAGTGAACAAACAAATTAAAAATGAATGAACGTGGGACCCACAGGTGGCATGGTGGTTAAAGGTGCTGGACTCCCACCATGGCCATCCATGGTTTGAGTCCTAGACCTCGTGGCTTGCTTTCTCACTTTCTCTCTCCCTCCCCTCTCCCACTCCCCACGTTGCTCTCTGGTGAGCACACAAACCCTATAGCAAATTAAGAAATAATAATAATTAATTAAAATAAATAATTCTAAAAAAATGAATGAATGAATAAATAGAATGAGTTGAAACTAGGGCGATCAGAGAGGACTATAATCAGGTTACATGTGAATTAGGGTGATTGGAAGGCTGATTTCAAAGTTATTACCTTAGTAAATATTTGACTCTTCAGATGGACCTGGTGGGCTCTTGAACACTACATAATCTTACTGTTGACAGTATGGTCTGTGGGTAAAGATGAGGGAGGCCAGACTTCCTGTGTCCATAGCCCTGCCCCTTCCCTGGTCTCTTCCACATCTAGGTGGGAGCATCAAAATCCACAGTGTGAGCAGAAGGCCTGGGTGTGGTCTGTTGGCTCACCCTCCTGTCTTTCTACTCTCCTCACTCACTGCATGTTCCTCCCCTACCCCATCTTCCCTTTCTTCATCCTTCTTGTAGAAGTATTTAAAGGTAAAAGGATCAATAAATTATAACCTGGTATAAATGTTTGTTAAATGTTCATTCACAATTGACAAAAAGTGAACTGGCCTTAAAGATCATTCAGAACACTCAATTTTTTAAAAAAATCAATATAGAGAGGCGCAAAGAGGCCAAGGGTTCTGCCTAGGCGTCTGTAGTAGTAAAGTCAGAGCTCAAACAGAGGGCTCTGGACTTCCAGATCATTGTTGCTTCTACTGTGCGAGATTTGCAAGAACTACAGGACTTGGGAAAGAGAAATGTGACAGCAATGAACCAGGGAATGATCTTGTCCCCGTCCCAGAGGATACAGTGCATCACATAAGGGAAGAGTGTGGACTAACCAGAGCTACATGGCACAAAGTGTAAGTGAGAGGTTATATGAATTATCAACGAAACAGAATCGAAACTCCAAGCCCGCTAACTCTATTTGCTACTCCTACTCAACCTTACACAGAATACATTATTATTACTGTACAGTCCTCTGCATGAGAAAGGCATTTTACAAATATGGCTTTATTATTTTTTTCATTTAACATTTTATTTATTATAATTTTCATTTGACCAGAGAGAGACAGAGAGAGAGGGAAATTGAGAAAGCAAGCCACCGGGTCCGTGACTCGAACCACGGTCAGCCATGTGGGAATCCAGTGCCCTCAACCACCACGCCACCTGCCAGCCCAACATTATAAATTTATAAACTAAATAAATTCTCTCTAGAAATTCCTTATATTGACAGCCCAGGTCACCCTTACCTTGGTAGTAACAGAACTGGCAGAGGAATCAGCTCCATAAATTTTAAAGACTTCCTCGATTGGGATACTGTTCTGTTAGACAAGAACAAAAATGCATTATCACATCATGTCTATTATTTTATTACAAAACAAATCTATTATAGCTCCAGTGTGTCTAATATTGTACTGGGCTTGGGTAGCGAAGACAATAAATAAATAACTTCTGAACAAAGTAGGTATAACCATTTTCCTATTAGTATGTTTCCCTTTCTTTTTCCCCCTTAAGTGTTTTCAAATGTAGTATAGTAAAAGTCAGTCATTTTATTATGTTTTAAAAAATAAGACATTGGGGGACCAGTAGTTAGCATAATGGCTATGTCACTGGACTCCCACGTGGTCGACCGCGGTTCGAGTCCCGGACCCAGTGGCTTAAACTCACGCCAGGCATGTGTGCGTGCGTGCCCAAGATCCCAAGAGGAGAATGGAGGAGAAGGAATTGCGGCGTGACCATCCCCTCTGGGGGGTGATTTCTCGCTTTCTATCTCTCTGTCTCTCTCTGTCTGTCACGCGCCCTATAGCAAAAACCTCTCCAAAAAAAAAAAAAAAAAAAAAAAAAAAGAAAATTGGGGCCAACAGATGGCTTAGCTATTATGTCTCTGTTCTCCTACATGGCTAACCATGGTTCAAATCCCAGACCCAGTGGCTTGAAAATCATGCCAGGTGCATGTGCCTGTATACCCAAGATCCCAGGAGAAAAATGAATGAGAAGGATTGTGGCATGGCCATCATCCACATGGGGTGATTTCTCACTTTCTCTCTCATCGTCTCTGTCTTTCTGGCAAGTGCATGCACCCTAAGGCAAAAACCTCTTTAAAAAAGAGACAGTTACTAATTAGTAAATCCTAAATATTTAGAAACATCAGTTAAAAAGTAACTTAAGTATGCTTTAAGATCAAAATGCATATAATAGCTATGAAATATCCATATAGGCAAATAGTGTTATTCTCCTTACCATTAAGATTCCAGCATAGGATGATAAAATCATTGCTTCTCGCTCTCTACGGTTTGGATATATGGGTCTGCCATGAAATGGCATTTTCCTAAGGGGGGAAATATGAATAAATAATAGTACAGAATTTATTTTTATTCTTTTGGACACCTGCTAAGTTTAGATGAATCCACAAGTAATTTGCAATGGCTAGGTACCCTCTGCTTATTTATAAGGTTGATGTGGTTGTCCTTCTCTCAGTAAAATACACACTTCAAATTTCCAGTCTTCCAACAATGATGATGAAAAATTTGCCTTCATCTATCCATGTTTTTGCAGCTATCGAACACCAACAGACTGGCCACTGTGGTGCATGTTTATGGTTTAACCTACCACATTTTTTCTCATTCTTACAGCAATTCGCTTAGGGGTAACTGACTTACCCCCCTGTAAGTCCATATGATCTAGGGATGTCAACAGCACTGCTAGACTCCAAGGATGGAAAACATATTGTGGACTAAATTAGTCCATGTGTTCCAGTCCACTCCCAGATAAGTCAGAGTAAACAAAGCCGTCGAGTCACAATTCTGTGCTTCTTTTAAAAAAGCCATTTCCCCCTGGACTGGATGTTTTAATGAAGGGCTGAAACTAAGAACAGTGTTCACTATAGGAAACACAGTCAAGACGTAGATCCTTGTGACACCGTTTGAATTTCTAATTAAACCATGACTAAGACACACCTACCTACAAGCTTTTCAGATACTGAGGCAATAAAAATCTCCTACCTATCTATTAAGTGTTTTGTTGTTTTTTATTTCAGCTTTTTTTTTTTTTTTTTTTTTTTTTTTTTTTTTTTGCTTAAGGGTGTTCAAATTAAGTTTTCTGCTTACTACTAAACCTTAATATCCATCCATGTACATGTAGTCCAAGGACATAGAATAGAAAAAAGAACTCACTTCTAATTTAACTCCAGCCTCCTTAGTTCTATATTCTTACCAACTGTGTGAATGTGTCTGAACACTGCACATGAGAGAAAAATGGCAATAATCTTGGGGGAAAAAATTACGCTGTGAGTTACACGGCTTAGCTCAGGTATGTATCTGCTAACATGCTTCTTAAGATATCGTGTTTGACCCAGCTGCAATAGCACAAGCTGGACACTGCCAAGCTAAGACCACATGGAAGGCTGAGGTTGAATTTCTAGCCCGCCTTTAAACAGGGCACTTGTAATCCTAGCTATTCAGGAGGATAAGGGAGAAAGAAGCATTACAATATGGAGAGACCCTGTTGAAACAGAGAAAGAAAAAGAAAGAAAGAAAGAGGGAGGGAGGAAGAGTTGGACAGTCTGTGGAAGAGTTCGGCCTTTCCTCTACAGAACTGGCCATTTTCAGAATCTTGGCATGAGCAAAGTAAACCAGACTATGAAAGACAAGCATTGTATGTCCCAACTTAATAGATATCAAATGTCTGTACTCTATAGCAGAAACTGAAAGATTGGAAAACACATAATAGCAGTGAGGCGAATTGTAGATACTAGAATCAGTGTAGAATGGGGTGGGTAATGGGGGTGAGAGGGAGGGGATCAGGGAAGAAAGCAAACAAAATATTTAAGGGACACAAAAATGAAAAGGTATCTGTTGATGATAATATATATGGTAATGTCTTTGACTTGACTAATATGCACTGTATTTGTACGGGGAAAAACCATGTTGTATACAACAGAGATGTCCAGTGACTAAATGTAAATAAAAAATAAATTTAAAAATAAAAAAGAAACAAATAATTGTAAAAAATAACAATACAAAATCATGGCATGTACACAATAAAGTACAGTCATGTCTCTAAGTCAGAACAGTCTGCACAAGAAAGTTTTTTATCTGATAAGTACCAATCAGTAGAGATGCAAATACCTAAACACATAGATGACTTCCTCAAGCTGGCAACCATTCCTCAGGGTTCTGGTTGCAGAGGGATATTTACTGTACTGTTTTCAAATTAGAGAACCTCATGTCAGAAGATGCTAGGTGGGGATGGAAACTCTTCTATCATTAATCATAATCACTCATTTAAAAACAAAAAACTTATTTCTCTTTTAAAAATAATTATTTATTTATTTAATTCCATTTGTTGTTGTTATTATTATTATTATTATTCTAATTTGACCAGACAGAGATAGAGAGAGAGAGAGAGAAAGGGAAAGCGAGAATGCAAGACTGGAACCACAGTCGGCCATGTGGGAATCCGGCGCCCTTAACCACCTCGTCACCTGCCAGCCCCAAAACTTATTTCAACTTACACTTCTTCCCACTCCAGCCAGGTGAGGTCTTCTGAATGGTCCAGCCATTGCAAAGCAACACGGAAGGCCAGGTCATAGTGCGCCTGAAAAAAAGAAGCACAGGCAGCAAGGAACCGGCTCAGACACTGGCCAAAAATTACGCTGTGAGTTACGCAGCTTAGCTCAGGTACGTATCTGCTTACATGCTTAAGATATCGTGTTTGGCCAAGCCTCGTCTATTTTGCAATGATCGAAATGGGAAGGATCATTAACTCTAATAACCTGATGCTCAGTCAGAAATATTTAGGGCTCTTCACGCATTAAATGTATCTCATACTAGAGCAGTGATTTGATTTGTGTGCTCTGGAAAAGAAAGAAAAAAATCAGTGGAAAGAATAGTAAGCTGGGAATCAGAGAATCTCATCTCAAATCTAGGTGCTGCCAAGAACTAGTGGCATATCCTTGGGTGAGTAATTGATGTTTTCTGGGCCTCAGCCTCCTTAAATTTTAAAATAGAGAAAAGTGAGAGTGAGGGAAGATGGCCACAGAGAACAAATTCTGATTCTCTGAGTAGAAAGTCAGAAATCCTCTTCTAGGGGCACAGGCTAAGTACAGTGGGAATACACAGGGAGGAGATGTTTTGTCTACCTGGGGAGGTGAGGGGAATCCTGGAAGGTTCCATAAAGGAGGCTTACTTAAGTAAGGCCAGTTTCTACCAATGGAGAGGGAAATCCCAGGTGGAGGGACCAGCGAAAGCAAGGGACTGGAGGGAGAACTGGTTAAGTGACTTGCTGAGAGTCTCAGGACAATAAAAATCTGAAGACCAATTCAAATGTTTATTTCTATCACAGCGACCACCTTTTTCCAGTAATTGCAGAGAATTCTTGTTTAGTAAACATATTTATTATGTATGTATCCAAATATTCTTTCTATCCTTTCCATTCCCCTCCCCAGAAAAGGAAAGGTTGGTTTTGTTTTTATTATACATGAGTTCTAAGGTTCTAACATTCTCTAGGCAATGTAATTATTTCTTCCAATGACTCAACCAAACTGAAAGTGAATATAAATAAATAAATAAAGGGGAAAACTGAACCATGGTCAGATGTTGAAACCAAGTCCAAAGTTTGATGCCTGGATTGGCAAGATTGGCATCACTTGTTTGCACAACAGAAATGCAAATTTCCAGCTCTACCCCAGACCTCCTGAATTAAAACAGCACTGTAATATACTCTCATTCAGTTTGAGAAGCGCTGCTCTGATCTATTTAATTTTTGCATATAATATGTGTGTAGAGAGAATAAGCCTTAATTACTTACTTAGCTTCTGGGAAGTGTTGAAAATCAGTGATCTCTGCTTTGCTTTAGTTATACTTTGGGGTGGGGAGGTGAGCACGGGGTATGTTCTTCCTTATTAATGCAAGAATAAAGAATGGGCAGCATTAAAAAACTGAGGGTTTACTAATTTCTTTAAAAATTAAATCTTTATGTGGCTCCTTCTTCAATTTCTGTGAAGTGGACTTTCAGAACCTAATATGAATCTAAACTTCAACACAAAAAAAAACACAACAGTTTATTTATTTATTTATTTTGAGAGAGATTTTTGCTATAGGGTACGTGTGCTCATCAAAGAGATAGAGACAGAGAGACAGAAAGCGAGAAATCACCTCCCAGTGGGGATGGTCACGCCACAATCCCTTCTCCATTGTTCTCTCAAGATCTTGGGGACACACGCACTTGTGCCCAGCATGAGTTTAAAGCCACCAGGTCTGGGGCTTAAACTGCAATGACTATGTGGAAGGCCAGCGATGTCATCATTACACCATCTGCTGGTCCCAACACAAGAAATACTAGAATTACTCATTTGTTTGGTTTCTCTCCACTAATGGCAAATGACAAAGAAATTATTAAAGTTGAAAACCATGTGATAGCTATTTTTGTCCAAAAAATTGAATGCCAAGTAACATTTTACCTTACACTCATTTTCTTTTTCACTGTTTTCTTTCATAATAACAAATGACTCTCAAGACTTCCGTGTTCTCTTTTTGCTTTCTGTTTAGTGGGTTGAAATGACCCTATGGATGATTTTAAGATGAGGTTAAGATGAAGAAAAGGACATTTTTTTTGGTGGGGAGGGGATCAGCGTTGGCCTTGTTTATTGCACAGATTAGGTCCTTGCTCTGTCCCTTGAATAGAACATACAACACAAATGTGACTCGCATCAGCATGCCTTTCTTTACCATATCATCTAGAAAGGTGAGTTGCCTTCTTCCTTTTGGGTCAAATTCATTTTCTCGAAGTCTGATGCCAATATAATCTCCCCTTAAAAGCAAGAGAGCAGTGTTGAACCATTGCAGGTGACACAGGGCTCCGTCTGCAGCAAAAGGCTTTCCTATGAATCCCTCCCTCCTTGACCAAAACACAAGAGAAGGCACTGAGGCAGTTGAGTTAATATTCAATATTGCTGTAAATGGTAATTCTGCAACACGACAGGTTTAAAATGTCTAACCACAATTAGCAAAGCACATTTATCTGAAAATTAAACTTATGTAATTAGAAATTTATAGGAAGGTCCCAAGAAATGTATGCAAAATACCCACACACAGAAAAAGTTTTACAAGATAAAAAGGATTGAGACTCATGATTTAAATTTAAGATTCCCGGGGCCAGCATATGGCGTGGTGGTTGGGGAGATGGACTCCCATATGGCTTACCACAGTTTGAGTCCTGGACCTGATGGCTTAATTTCTCTCTGTCTCTTTTTCTCTGTCTCTCTGTCTCTTTCTGGTGAGTGCACGTGCCCTATAACAAGTTGAGATAATAATAATAAATAAAAACTAAATAAATAATTCTTTAAAATAAAATAAATATTCTCGTGCTGCCCATATTGAATTCAGGCAGAATGTCCAAAGTTGATAAATTCCAGATATATAAACATCTGAAGTGATATATTCTTTTGTCCTAAGACTTTTTTTCATTAAAATGAAAATATTTTTAGGAGGAATCATGCATAAGAATGTATTAGTAATTCTATTTTAGGGTAACACAACCAGATCATTTTATTTTTAAGAATTATTTATTTAATTTTACTTATCATTATTATTACTTTTTAGTTTGCTACAAGGCTTGTGGGCTCACCAGAGGGAGACAAATAGGAAAAGTGAGAAAACAAGCTGCCAGCTCGAGGGCTTGAACCGTGGATGGCTGTGTGAGAATTCAGTGCTTTAGCCACCATGCATGCTACCGGCTGGCCCTATCAAATTCTTTTCTTTAAAAAAAGAGATATTTGCTACAGGGCACATGTGCTCACCAGAGAGACAGAGAGGCAGAAAGTGAGAAATCACCCCCCAGGAAGATGGCCACGCTGCATCACTTCTCCATTGTCCTCTTGGGATTTTGGATATACACACACATAGGTGCCAGCATAACTTTCAAGCTGCCAGGTCGAGACTCTAACTGTGGCCAACTATGTGGAAGTCCAGTGATATAACCATTGTGCCATCTGCTGATCCTGCCAGATCCTTTTTTAATGGTGGCTTGTAATAAGAGGAGTTTTGTAAAATAAGCACCTTTGGAGGAAACTAGAAATGGACACTACTCTGAGAAAGCTGGACAGAGGAATTGGATGCAGGAAAATGACAGTTTTACAGATCTCACAATTTAACTTATGTAAGGCCAGTTCTGGTTGTCTATTTACCAAACTGAGACACTTTGGATCGATACTGTGTGCAGGATATGTATGTATGGCTTCTGAAAACACTTCTTCCTTAAGCTTTTCTTTCTTTCTTTTATTTTTTGGAGAGAGATTTTTGCTATAGGGTGCAGAGACAGAGACAGAAAGGGAGAAATTCCCCCCACACACACACCAGAGTGTTGGCTATGCCACAGTCCCTTCTGCATTGTCCTCTTGGGATTTTGGGCACACATGCACATGCGCCCAGTGTGAGTTTTAAGCTGCCAGGTTCAGGACTTGAACCACGGTCAACTAGGTAGGAGCCCAGTAACGTAAATATTACACCATCTGCTGGTTCCCTTCTTTAAGCTTTTTTAGATGATAAAAATTTAATTTTTGCTATAGAATTTCAAGATATTTTAAAATAGCCTAACTATATTCTTGGGATATAAAATTGCATTTAGATTTTTTGAAATTCTTTGGTTGAGCTGTGTAGAGGAGCTGGCAATTCCTGATCATGGTTTCTTCTTTATTATTATATTGGCTTCTGAACACTTACATGTAAACATATGTGAATTCATGCATAGTTTATTCAAGCATTTCTTAAGGACTTGTTAAAAGATCATTTTCTTATAGGTACAGAAAGGACACCTGACAGGAACTATGATCAAGGCCTTTGTTGAAAAGGATTTATTGTTGTGCCTATAATACATATGAAATAGAACATAACGTCTTTATATGATTATCACCAACATTTGTTGGTGAAACCTTTATTACGTACTAAGTATTTTAAAAAAGAATAAAATTACCACCAGAGGAAAAAATATTTTTTCTATGGAAAATTTAATGTTTTCTTTTTTAGTGTTAGTAAAAATTCAGATGTGGGGGCTGGTGGATAGTGTGGTGGTTAAAGGCGCTGGATTCCCAGTGTGTAAGAAGAGGTTTGAATGTGATGAAAAAAGTCTGGAAGAGTTAGCAAGAAACTAATGATAGTGACTTGTCCTTTTTTGCTGGTGGTGGGGGGTATGAAATGGCACCAAGGAGGACAGGGCCAGAGGTTAGAAGTCATAACTGATGCTTTGAGGTCTAGCTCATGTACTCAATCACCCAATCGGGGAAATGATTTAAAAGCCATTAATCAATCATTTTCTTTCTTGCTGTTTCAGTCTGTCTCTGTCTCTCTCTGGCGAGCACATGTACCTTAAGGCAAAACCTCTTTTAAAAAAATTCAGATGTCGCTAGAAAGACAAATGATTTAGTTAAAATGATTGACAATAAAAGAGGCAGAAATTGCAACGTAAATGCTGGGCCTTTGGGCACATTTTCAAGAATCTCTCCTATACCATCTACCAGCAAGGCCAGCCCTTTGCGGTGGTGAATCTCGCCCACCATGGCTGGCTGGGCTGGGGGCTCTGCTCTCAGGCTCCAAGAGGGGGCTGCATTGGATGTGCATGCTCCCAGCAGCCACAATCTCCTAAGAATACCCGCACCACACGGGATGCCTGCCTGGCAGGAGACAGAGGTCAGAGCCTCTTCTGGCTGCCTTCTATCGCACAGGGATTGATTCTTCCTTAGATTTCCACCCTCTGCCAAGACTCAGACTGTCTATGACGTGAAACCAGCCAAACGCTGTTTCATAAATAAAGTTATGCTCAGTCATACTTACAGGAGCTTTTTCATTTCCTTCTTTATGAGCCTTCTTTCCATGATTAAGGGCTTATCCACCTGAGCCGATATCTGCAGTTTACACTGACTTGAGATCCTTTGGGGAGACCCAGCCTCTCTGAGCCTAAAAGCTACAGCAGCAAATCAGAGAGAATTTGAATTAGGGATGCTATCACTCCAAATACCAGTCATGGAATCGCAGGCTCTGGAAGGGATCTAGGAGTGCACAGGGTTCAAGCCTCTTATCCAGCAATTTCCAGGTATGAAGGTTGCCTGGAGGCTAGCACACTGTACTTCACATTTGTCTAACATCTTTTATTCCTTCGAGGCTTTTCCAACTTTTCTTATTTACTTATCCTTGCAGTAATCTAAGAAGTAAAACAGAAATGACATCTGTAATAAACGATTTGAGAAGAACCATCCAAACACAGATGGCTGGTACTCCAAATATGCGTGAGTTTTTCCATGTGAGTTCAACCTGGAGATGCCTAGTGGAGTCCACTCCAAGGCAGTGGCTTATACATAATAGAGTTTTCCATGGAACTCATCTATAATCTCCTATGACCGGAAGTCCTTGAAAGAGCCTTTGGTCATTACAAATGTCTTCAATTCCCATCCCTGCATTGAACCAAAAATTGTAGATCAGGTAGTAATGTCAAAAAGGGTCTGAAGTCAAAAAAAGAGTTTACAAAACCCACCACTATGAAATGGGCTACCCAGGAAGTGATATAGGTAGGATATCAACCTAGCTGTGATGTTTTATTTCTTTAAAAGGATTTGAAACAGAAACCAGCAGGTGTCATGGTGGTTAAGGCACTTGACTCCCACATGACTGATCTTGGATTGAGTCCCGGACCTGGCAGCTTGCTTTCTCACTTTTCCTTTCTCTCTCTCTCTGGTCAAATTAAAAATTAATAATAATGATAATAATAATAAATAAAATTAAATGAATCTTAAGAAAAGGATTTGAAACAAATTGTAATGATTAATTTTATGTATCAACGTAATTGGGCAACTATATCCAGATATTTTGCCAAACATTATTCTAGATGTTTCTGTTAAAATGGCTTTTGGACGAAATTAATTACAAATTAATGGCTTTGAGTAAAGCAATTTACCTTCCTTAATGTGTTGGATAAGTGAGCTTTGGCTAACTGGGCCTTATCCAATCAGTTGAAGGCCCTGATAGAACAAAGACTAATCTTCCTGAGCAAGAAGGTATTCTGCCAACAGACAGACTTTGATTTCAAATGTAACTATTTCCTGAGTCACCAGCCTGGTGACCTACCCCATCAGATTTTGGACTGGCCACGCCTTCACAGTGATGTGATCCAATTTCTTAAAATAAATCAGTCTTTCTCACTCTCTGTTATATGTCACTTGATAAATATATGTTCTGAGAAATATGTTGTTAGGTGACTTCATCATTGTGCAAATATCATAGCATGTACTTACCGAAGTCCAGCTGGCATAGCTTAGTACCCACTGAGGCTATATGGTCTAGCTTATGATAATTCTATGGGACCATTGCTTCATATGTGGTCTATTGTTGAGCAAAACATTGTTACATATGTGCATGCACACATACATATATATTTATGTAAACTGAACTGAGCAGGCATCTGTATTACATATATATATATATATACACACATACATATGCACATGTACATATGGGTGATGTGTAGGTATGTGTGTGTGGGAAAGACACACACATATACACACACACCCTGTTGACTCTATTCCTCTGAAAACCTTGACTAACATACAAATGTTAACACAAATGTTAGCAGTTGCTGACTCTGGGATAAGTCTATGAATGTTCATTATATTATACTTTGTACTTAAATTTCACATGTGTCTTTTTATAATTATTTTATTGAAATTTATTTATTTATTTATTTTAATTTGACCAGAGAGAGTCAGAGTCAGAGTGAGAGTGAAGTGAGAAAGTGAGAAAGCAAGCCACCAGGTCCGAGACTTGAATCATAGTCAGCCATGTGGGAGTCCAGCGACCTTAACCTCCACACCACCTGCTGGCCCTGAAATTTCACATGTGTTTTTAAAACACTGTTCTAAAGATGATTAGTAAAAAATCTTTGTGAACTTTTTAAAATTGTAGCATATAAGCACAGCTTCATTTAGTTTTGCTCTCTAACAATAAGCAAAGAGCAAACAGAATACTGCACTACTGATTTAAATTAATTTTTCATTAGGCCACCTTATGTATTTGGGTCATCCTTGCTACTGCTACATCTGCTTTAGCTTTTTGGGGGTGGAAGGGTGTGGTTAAGGTGGAAGGGAGGAAGAGAAGCGTTCCATAGCATGCACTAACTATATTAGCAGTAATTCTGCTCTCTACAGGAGAGTCAACTGAGAGGGGATGCTGCAAGCCAGAGAGGGGCCTCCTGGCCTAGGGGAAGGAAAAGCCCTAGACCTAGGGAAGCCTGATGCCAGCCTGTGGTGTCCAGCCACCACTGACTGGTATGCTATGGCCAAGCCTCTTGGCTCTTGTGTTCCAGTCTCAGGTGTTATCTAAGACAGGATGGGTCTCGTTAACATCATCAGAACACTTTTCACCCTGATACTCTATAACTCCAAAGAGCTGGCATGTATTCAGATTCTATTAATTCAATAATTTGGAAAACACTTGTTTTTCTTTAAAAAAAAAAA